TAGCAATAATTTATTAACCCTTACAACATTACAAGGTCTTCATTTACCTACTTCCCTCAGTGGTGTGCAAGAATAGAAGGGCATAGGTAAAAGTTAAAGAGTGAAAGAATATCATACAGCTCTTTGTGCCGTGCAAGAATAGCATTATCATGAGTAAATAAATAAATAAAATAAAATAAAAAGACATAATGTGAAGAATATTTAGTGGATGAATCAACCTTAAAGAAACAACATAGTACGTAAATATAAAAATATATTTATATATATACCATCATATTTTCTTCATCTTCATCATAACTTAATGCTTGGAAGCTTCATCCACGTATATAGAAATATATTTTATAGGAAATACCGGGTCTAACATGCAAATTTCAAAGCAAAGAATGCAAAGGCCAATAAGCCAATCGGTGATGCATGAAAGAATATGATTTTGCACCTAGCGACAATTTATTCTGATACTTATCTCATTTCATCTCTACATCTTGACTTATGTGGATAGAAAGAAACAAGCATGATATAAAATACTTGTGAACGGATCTTTCGTGAATCTAATGGTTTAGATTGAGACGTGCATTGTAAGAATGGTCTCTATGAGAATAGTTAAAGGTATTTGGAAGATGGCCGAATGATAATAATCGATCGATCAAAGATTATTCGAGTAGCTAATTAGAGGGCGACCGACCTTGATGCCGACTGACTTGAGGATTGATCGGATAGAAGATGATGGGTTGGAAGGAGATCCATGCACCGACCGGATGCTGTAAAGTCAGTTGATCTGGGGTCGACCCGTTAAAGAGGATTTATAGTCCCATATAAATAAGGAAATATTAAATGTATTAAGGGGTTGTTTTACGTAATTCAAGCAAATTTTGTATTAATTAATTAAGTTTCATGAGTGATTCGTGAGTCGGCTCGGGTTCAACTTGATAAGTGGGTCGTGAACTGAGTTTAATAAGCTTTCAAGCCAAGCTCAATCCACTTGTTGGCTCGTGAGCTAGCTCATTTAAAAAATAAGCAATAAAAATATACAAAATTTTATTAGGATTCAAGAATTTTCTTTAAATTATTAAATATGTTTTAAAAGTGATATTTATATTTTATGCCAACTTATTTCTTATTAATTATCTAATAAATATTCATTTTAATTGTCATTTAAATATAATACTAACTTTATATATATATAGATTCGTTCGATAAGCAAACGAGCCAAACAAGAAAAAATTTTTTTGAGCTGGATTTATAAATGAGTCGAACACAAACAAACTTTATTCAATCGTGTTCAACTAGTTTTTGCTCAATTTAATTAAATATTAAATAAATAATGTATAAAAGCTAGTCAAATGATGTCAAAAGTTTTGTTTATAAAAATGTAAAAAAAAAAACAATTAGATATTAGATATGTAAATAGATAAGAATTGGGTGTTATGTGAGTAAATACCCATCAAATTTTTAAAAAACATAAACTTTAGGTGTTAGATATGTAAATACATAAGAATTGTGTGGTATGTATGTAAAGTCTTCTTGCACGGCCCACCCAACAGAAAAAATTTGAGTGCGTAAGATGTACGCAGTGCTGCGTACATAATGAATGTTATATGGGGGTTATATCGGCATTATATTCACGTTATATCCCTTATAACCTCCATATAAATTTCATGTAACCTACATTTATGTGAAAAGAGAAGCGATAAACTTATTTGTAAGTTCGGGTATGTTACATGTAAGTTATATATAGGTTACATGGAGATTACAAAGAATATAACACGAATATAATGCCGATATAACGCTTATATAACCTTCATTATGTACGCAGCATTGCGTACGTCTTACATAATCAAATTTTTTCCCCATCCAACACCTCTTCATTTGGTTCTGTGTCTTTTATCGCTCATCACCAAATTGAGAAATGATCAATGATTGATCCTCTATAATGACAAAAAGATAATAATGGAATTTATTGCTTTCAGCTCTGCTTGAACATCATTTTAGGATATTTTTTAATGAAGAAAATATTATATTTTCAGTTTAAATAGAAATATTTAAAATAAAAGAATTAATTTAAAAAATTTAATTTTGAGTTGAAATTCGAGCAATAATTTGAATAATTTAGTAAATTAAGTTGAACACAAACAAATAAATTAAGAGCTGCTAGGAACAAGAATAAAATATAATTTAAACGAGCCGAACACGAAATAAATATTTAAAAAATTTTAAGTTATTTTTACATAGAATTTAAATATTTTACTTAAATAAATATAATATTCGTTTAAATTATCAATTTGTTCTCATCCCATAAAGTACTGCATAAAATTATTGGTCATATTTTTAAAATTTTCCTTATAGAATAAATAATGAATAGTACCAAAAACTCTCGTATAAGAAATAAAAAAATTAAAATAAAAAAAATAGGGATATAAGCGTCAAATAATTCCTTGATTATCATATCTATCACCATCAACGATTATATTGCCAAATTAGAATTCCCCTCGCAAGTTTAAATCCTATGCTTCCAAGGAAACTTGAGAAGAAAATACAACAAAATTATGACCCTTGGAAACCGTTCGCTTGAAAAAAGATCCAAAGGCTATAAAATCTATGTATTTTGAATAAATTACTAGAGTTGCATAAAAGCTATGGCCTGCGTGGCAAGTAGTTTGATTTGCCAGGCAAACGCCGTAGGCCGGAATCGCGTCTTGATTGTTAGGCCTTGTATGTTTTTTGCTGAATTTTTATTTATGTGGATTAAAAAATACGAGTTAAATAGAAATATATCACATCGAGTCAATGTGAGAAAATATTCCATCATGACTCCGCACATAGAGTTACGTGCGTAGCACAATAAAATCACCCAACATGACAGTGACAGCAAAAAAAAAAAAAATCTGTCAGGTAACACAAGAGAATATTCCTCCCATGTTATTCAAATGTTATTGTGTATTATTCAAGTGTTATTATATGTTATTCAAGTGTTATTGATGTGTTATTGTATTATTATAACACCGAGAATATTCCCAGAACACAATAAGACCTGAATAACACGGGAGAAATATTCTCTTACTGAGATAATTTTCCAGGTGGCATAATTTCATAGGACTCCGCACGTAACTCTACGTGCGGAATCCTGATGCAATATTTTTTCAGTTAATACAATATGAGAAACCAAATAGAAGAGTATTTGAGACAACTGTCACAATAAACTTGATCTAAGGGAAGATCTAGTTTTAAGATATCTCCAATCATCGCTGGAACGGCCAGCAACTCTCCATCAAAGTCAATGATCAATTGTCGGGTTATATCATTGGGCCGATTCATATGGACGAAACACAACTGACAAAACGGATCTCAGCCTATCAAAATGATCTTGCTCGCCCGAAGTCAATTAGGATCAGCTGATAGAGTCGACGAACAACCAAACAATAAACATACATGTAAAATATCATAAATTTCTTAGTATTTACATCATTAAAACGAGAGCAAAAATATCACATCATATAAAAATTCATTTATGAATATTCACTCATCTAGTTCTTTGCCGCTCTCTCTCTCTCTCTCTCTTCTTACTCTTAGTGTAATTCACATATAAATAAGAATTCAACAACATTGTCCAAAAAAGTTATGAAATTTTTTCACACATAATATGCAATTCTTATATATTTACATATATAGCTTCCAAAATTGGATATTTACATTTATACCTCTTTGGTGTCTCACACTCCTAAATGTTTCCATGAAAATATACATGTCATCTTAAAGATTGTTGAAGTTATGTTAAATATTTAAGGGACATGTATGTACATATAAATATGAAATTTTAGGTGCTAGATATTTAAATACATAAAAAATGCGTTGTTGCATGTAGGGGTGTAAACGAACCGAACACGAATGAACAGAGCTTGTGTTCGTGTTCGGTTCGTTTGAAATTTAGTTTGTTTGAAATAAGCTCGTGTTTGAAATTGTTCGTGAAGTCACTGTTCGTATTCGTTTCTTAACGAACGAGCTGAACACGAGCTGTTCACGAACGATGAGCCAGTTTGACATCCCTAATATTAATATATATAAATAATATATTATATTAATTATATAACTCATATTATATAAATAAATAATATTTATATTTGTATATTACTAATATAGTATATTAATATATTATTATTATTAATTTATTATATATTATAATTTATAA